TCCACTTCTTGAGTTCATTTATTTCCTGAATGTTATTGTTGGCTTCAAATGTTTAGTGATTAGAAATCTAGATCAATGATCCTCAATTCTTCCTGCAAAGCAGAATCACCTTGGGCTTGGCAGCTGTTAAGATGTTAGATACTAGGAAAAGTGACTAGACTGATTTGAAAAAGAATCAAATAAAACTACTGGAAATGAAAAACCTGGTTGGTTCCAACTCATAGTGAGTCAGGATAGGGTTTCCGAGGAGCAGCTGGTGAGTTTTAACTGCTGACCTTGCGTTCACACTGACTTTACTGTCCAGTGCTTATCCTTTCTTTAGCACCACACCAAGACTCTACTAACAGAATATACTGCGGCCCGAGGCTTCACCAAAAAAGAGTTTTTTTAATTTAGGGTGGGGGCGGACTAGAGCAGCCTTTCTATTGTTTGTTGGTGTTAGCGCTCCAGGTAATTCTAATATGCTTTGTTGTTGTTGTGAAGTGCCGAGTCCATTCCGACCCTGTATAGGGTTTCCAATGAGTGGCTGGTGGGTTGAAGCCCTGACCTCAACCTGAGCAGTCCCAGGCTTCTCCTACAGAGCCACACCAGGACTGACATCAAGTTGTGAATGAATGAGACGGGTGTCTCAGGGTTTGCTTCCCTTCAAGCAGAGCTTCTCCAGGGGCAGGTTTCCAGAGCAAGTGCATCAGAATTCAGAGGAGTGCAAAGACCTGGGGGCCCTCCAGCCCTACTGCAACATCATCTCTAGGGAGGAAGCTCCACAGCCTTCAAGGTTTTAAGAACTCCTCGGCTGCAGAGGTGCTTAGGTTCTCTTGGAGGACAGCCAAGTCTACGGCCTAACGCTTGCCCTGGAAGTTCCTCATTCCTGAAGTTAGCTGCAGGAGATACATGCAGCTGTTTTAATCTCCACCTGACAATGCAAGGTTTGTCCTATGTTACTCTGATTTTGAGGTTAGTGATGTGGCACTGTAGGATAAGTACTTGACTGTAAGGTCGGTTGGAACTACAAGATCAGTGGTTCAAACTCACCAGCCGCTCCCTGGAAACCCTATACAGGGCTGCTATGGGTTGGAGCAGACTCAACGGTACTTAACAACAACAAATCATGGCTTTCAGGAATGCAGTGTCTCTACAACAAGCAATGGACTGTGAACCACAAGGCTGGCAGTTCCATGGTTCAAGTTCCAAGGCTTTCTGCTTCCACAAAGATTCAGGGTCACTATGAGTCCTGGTGTGGTGCTGCAGCATAATGCACTGGACTGCAAGGTCAGTTTGAACCTCAAGGCCAGTAGTTCAAACCCACCAGGCTCTCCTAGGAAACCCTATATAGGGTCAATATGAATCGGAACCAACTCAACTGCACTTAACAACGTTGAGTTGCACTTAAAAGGAACCATCATGGGTTTCTTCAGGGAAATATCCTTAGTAGGTCTAATCCCATGTGCATTATAAGGCAGTGAAAGTTCTCAACGTTCTGCTGTGTTGAGGACTGGCCAGATCTTCCTGTTGTTATGTGCCATCAAGTTGGTTCTGACTCATAGGTTTCTGAGGAGTGGCTGGTGGATTTGAACCATGAACCTTGTGGTTAGCAGTCTAGTGCTTATCCTACAGTGCCATACCAGGACTCCAAATCCTCAGCCTTTCTTCCTATTTTCATTTATCTTTTGTCTTCTCAATGGATTTTGAGGAAGAGAGGAAGTCATTGAATTATTAAATCAAGATAAAGCACAATTACCCAGTTTGTAGGGAAAGAAACAACACACAAAACATCTCTTTCACAATTCACAGACTTGATTTCAGGTGCTTGTATGTCACAGTGCCTTTGAATTCCCTCCTCCATGGCACACCTGTGCCTGACCTTTCACACTGCTGTCCCCGTGGCTCATGCTGCAGCCTGCCAAAGCCTCACCAGTGACTGAAGGGCAGCCAGAGGGCTTGCACCGTTGGGGCTTCTAACTCTACTGAGCGGAACAGTCCAGACAAGTGTTTCATGTTTGAAAAAGTCAAAACTAAAGCGTAATGCTGTTTCTCCATGATTTCTCTTTGCTGGCTTCATTTATGGATCCTTGAGTCAGAACCTACTCTTTGTCCCTTCTTTCCTAGGAGACTTTATCATGTTATTTTAGCTTAACTGTAGGTGTATTTAGATTAAAAATATGGAGTCCTGGGTTAGCACTGTAGTATAAACCCTGGACTGCTAACTGCAACGTTGGTGGTTCAACCCCAGCAACTGTTCCTCAGAAACCCTATACAGGGTCACTGTGAGTGAGAACCTACTGACAATAGGGCACTTAACAACATCCAAATATTTGTCAAAAGAAATGAAGAATAGCATTCCTCATAACAAAAGCATAGAAAGGAAAATAAATTATGCATTCAATAGTCTCTATGAACAAGCTGATCTGAGGCCAGAAGCCATTCAACTTGCATTGGCCAGGAGTATTATTCTCATGTTGATTTATAACCTTAGCCTCTTTACTATTCAAGGCAACACACAGCCTGGAGCTCAGGCATTAAAATAACAACCAACAAATTAGCATTATCCTTGCAAAATTCAACCAAACATCTGCATCAAAAGATTCTGAGAAAAAGGCATTTCAGTGTATTCCAGAAGGACTAAACCTAGAGCAGGATTCACATATTTAAATAGCACACTTCAGTGTCCATTTTTACTGGAGGATTGTTTGCTCCAGATTGAGGGGGGAAATGAGGGGGAAAAAAGTCATCAATTCTTTCATTTTAGATCTCGGAAAGATCCTGGGAAAGCATGTGGAAGCAGAACTATTACTGGGGCTATTCCTGACAAATGCCATCTGTCACTGAACTGCCTTACTTTGATTTTTAATTTAAAATTTTTACTTAACATACCTGCTAACCTCCCAAGTTCCTAGAAATCTCAAATTTTGAAAGTCCAAGTGCAGACTTTAAAGCATTAACCCATTGCTGTTGGGTCTATTTTGACTCACAGACATTACAGAGCAGAGTAGAACTAGCCCGTGGGGTTTCCAACACTGAATTTTTATGGAAGCCCACTGACACATCGTTCTCTTGCAGAGCTGCTGGTAGGTTCGAACTGCCAACATTTTGACTAGCAGCTGAGCTTTGAACTATTGTGCCATCAGAGTTCCTTTTCAAAAGGATTACCACCACATATAAACTCTACTTAATGAATTTTCATGCAAGTCCAAATGACCTGTCTACTTTCTCCCCCACAGTCTGAGTATCTCTTCTCCTGGCCACCACCCATGATCCCACCTTCTTTGCTGTTGTTGTTATGTGCCATGGAGTCGGTTCCAACTTACAGTGACCCTGTACAAGGCTTCCGAGGCTGTAAATCTTTATGGGAGCAAACAGTCTCATCTTTCTTCTGTGGAACAGCTGGTAGTTTCGAATTGCTGACCTTGAGATTAGCAGCCCGATTCATAACCATTATGCTACCAGAGCTCCTTATAGTGAATGAATTTATATTAAAACACTTAAACACGTCATTGTATTGTTTGACAAACATTATTTTAGTGTTTATTATTTACAAAACAATCTTGTTCACTACACCTAAGTTGTTGTTTTTTCTTTTTTAAAAACCTTGTTACGATTTTGGTGTAAGTTTACAGAGCAAATTTGTTTCCCATTCAAACAAATCATACACATTTTTGAAGTCTGACACTGATTGCAATCCCCACTATGTAAGTGTACTCTTCCACTTCCTCCTGCGTTTACTGTACCTTGTGACCTTTACTATCCCTTCCTGCCTTCTGAGCTTTGTCTCCAGGCTAAAGCTGCCCTTCCCATCTCCTATGGTTCACTGTTCTAAGGAGTAGGTTGTTGTTGTTAAGTGCCATAGAGTCGGTTCTGACCCATAACAACCCTGTAAAGGATTTCTGAGGAGAGGCTGGTGGGCTTGAACCACCGACCTTGCAGTTGAAACTGACTTTGCAGTCAGTCCAGTGTGTTAACCCACAGCGCCAAACCAGGACTCTAAGGAATAGCTAACTCCATGGTATTATTTGTCAACTTACTGGCCTGTCTATCCTTTGGCTGACTCTTGGTGTGGTGCTGTAGGATAAGCACTGGACTGCTGGCCATAAGATTGACAATTCAAACCCACCAGCTGCTCCACCAGTTGCTATGACAGAACCAACTCGACAGCAGTAAACAACAATTCTTTGGCTGAAAGTTGAGGCAACATTGTGAGTTCCCTTGTAGTCCTGAAGGGGGTCTTAGGGTCATAGTCTGAGGTTCCATCAGCCTCTCATACACCAGGAAGCCGGTGTATGATTTGGAGTTTTTTCAACTATTTTTCTCCTACTTCATCCACAACTCTAAACCACAGACCTACTTAAGTTTCTTTAAAACTAAAAGCCTCTTCATTTCCATATCCCTTACCACACTGAAATACTCAACTGTTAACTACTGGTTTGAAGTCATTAGCCCCTCCGTTGGAGAGAGGTGTGGCAGGCGGCCTCTGTAAGGATGATAGCCTTGGGAACCCTGTGGGGCGGTTCCACTCTGAGTTGGAATCCACCTGATGGCAGCGCGTTTTGTTTTCTTTGGGTTTTTATTGTATCAAAGTTACTCAGTATGTTGTTATAGGGATGGATTTAGAGGCAACTTTTATACACATAAAAGAATTAGTGATTAATATGACCAGCACTGGACTCCTGGTGTGGTGCCGTGAGTTCATGTGCTGGACTGCAAAGTTGGTTTGAAAAGCAAAGTCAACCCTATACAGGGTCGCTATGAGTCGGAACCGACTCAACAGCACTTTACAACAACAACACTGTAAGTGATGGTAAATTGTTTAAGAGGATAAGGACAATGTCGAAGATGCCACTTCACTTCTAGTAACACCGCCCTTGTTGTTTTTGTTACGTTTACAAATCAGCTGGTGTCAAGAGGGAGAAGGATGAACTAAATAACGTCAAGGTGTCTTTTATCTCCAATAGTCTTTAGCTGAGAAGAGACCTGTGTGACTGATTGTTCCTGAGACAGGAGCGCACCTGAAGCAGCTCTATATCTTCTTGGTTTTCAGACCCAGGGGTATTCTCCATCAGGATGGCAGACATCACTCTCACATTCATTTTCACCATGTCCAACTCACTGTGCAGTTTTCCAATCTGTGGAGAGCAGCACAAGATCAGTCAGCAAGTGTGACACAGAAGAACCAAGCGTCCTGATACTGGAGGGCAATCTGCTACAAGAGAAAATCCTTCAGCAGAATTTACTATGTTCAAACTTAATAAAGTACTAAATATTTATAAGCTAAACATTAAAAGCCCTGCCACTTTAACTCATACAAGTCTGACTCGATGTATCCCCAAGATTCACCATGGCAAACTGAGCTTAACATTTCTACAATTTTGACCATTTATGTTGACATTTGGGAGCACAGTGGTTCCATACAATAAGCACTGGACTACAAGTCACGAGGTCTTCAGTTTGAGCCTACCTGCTGCTCCGCAAATGAAGGATTAGGCTTTCTGCTCCCAAGACGACTTTTAAAGCATTGAAAACCCTATACAGAGTCGCTATGAGTTGGAACCACCTAGATGGCACTTAACAATAAAAATAACAATTATTTTGAAATGTACAATGTCACCTACTAAAAGATTTACAGTCTTTTATAATAAACTTCAAAATAGACTCTTTGGTTGTTGCTGCTAAATGTCATCGAGTTGTTGACTCACAGCAAACCCTGCACAGCGTTTCCAAGGAGTGCAGGTGGGTGTGAACCACCAACCTTCATTACTTATCCTACTGAGCCACACCACGACACTGATAGGATAGTTAAAAATGAAGAAAAAGAAGTGTGATCAGAACCAAGACTGAGAGGGAAGAAGGTAACTATACTAGGAAGCTGGATGAGATCGTTTCTAACGCCAAAAGCTAATATGAGTCTGGACTTTTTGGGAGCCAGTGGGCAAAGGCGCAAATACTTGAATTTTTATAATTCTGTTTAGTGCTGTCGAGTCAGTTCTGACTCATGAGACTGTATAGGGTTCTCCAAGGAGCAGCTGGTGGGTTTGAGCTGCCGACCTTGTGGTTTGCAGTCCAGTGCTGATCCTACAGCACCCACCCCAGGAGGCCTTTATAATATATAGAAAGAGACTTTTATAATAATTTATAATTCTAGTGGTTTTAAAAAAAGAAAGAATCAAGAGATAAACACTTTTATTTTCTGGATTAAATTCTAAGAGGAATTCATCACATGGACTCTTATATAAGGAATGTTGTTGTCAAGTGCCGTCGAGTCAGTTCCAACTCATAAAGACCCTACATAGGGTTTCTAAAGTTGAAAAACTGCAGGGGAAGAAAGCCTCACCTTTCTCCTACAGAACTGCTAGTAAGCTCAAACTGCCGAATTTGTGGCTTGCAGTCGACTGCTTAACCTGCAGAGCCACCACATTCCTTTATATAAGGAAAAATGAAAGAATAAGAATATGAAATCTTCAAAGATATATCCCGTACAAAAGGACAGAAATGAACTTCATGTAATAATTGCTTAGGTTACTCTTGATAAAAAGCTATAGACCAAGAGGCAAAAAGTAATTTAGTTAACACAATTGGTACTAGTAATAAAGCGACTGCCGATCTTTCGGTTAGCAGTCTAGTACTTATCCTCTGACACAGTATGCGCATATGGACAGTCCTGCCAAGGGAAAAGGAAATCAGCCAATTGACATGAGATCCAAGTCCACATCAAGCCTCCACCAAGCCATAAAAGCTGATGGCTGAGAACAGCTGCTGAGAGATTACCCAGACAGAATCTGGGGGACAAATTTTCCTTAGGACTGAACCGAGATAGATCACATACCATCACTAAGCCTCAGCTTTCTCTTCAGTAAAATGAGGACAATAATGTACCGCCACCTTGGTGTCACAGGATCAGCACTGCACCGTAAGGTTGTGTTGAACCTCAAGGTCAGTGGTTCAAACTTTCCAGTTGCTCCTCGGAAACCTTATACAGGGTCGCTACGAGTCAGAAACAACTCGACAGCACTTAACAACAACAACACACCTTATAATGTGGTCAAGCAGAATCAATGAACTACTGGAGTCCTGAGTGTGGTGGTGTAGGATAAGCACTGAAAGGTTGGCAGTTCAAATTCACCAGCGGCTCATTGGAAACCCTATACAGGGTCACTATGAGTTGGAACTGTATCGACAGTACTTCACAACAATAACACATAAAGTGCTTGCTGATGTTGTTAAGTGTTGTCAAGTCGGTTCTAACTCATAGCGACCCTGTATAGGGTTTCTGAGGAGTGGCTGGTGAACTTGAACCATCAACCTTTCGATTCAAACCAGCTTTGCAGTTCAGCGCATTAACCCACAGCACCACGCCAAGATGCCATAAAGTGCTTACAATTTAGAAAAAGTCATTAATAAATACTATTGCTGTTGTTACCTGTTCTGGGACCAACGTAATGGTCGGATTCTTGGGAACAACTATGGAGGGAAGAGCCGGTGCCGAAGGAACAGATGTTGGTGGATTCGATGAGATCTGAGCAGTCTGCCAATGTGAAATATGGAAATATTATTTCTTGAAAAAAGAGTCACCCCAAGCCCAGCTTTTCCATTCAAAAGACTCAATCGCTTTCTCTCAACCAAAGCTTTGGGTAGAGTGTTAACCCAGAGTCAGTCATCAGTGTACATCTACATAACCTTTTGAGAAGAGTGCTAATGCAAATGGCATGCCCAGAACAGAACAGATATTGAATAGCAAGTGGCTGCTATTATGATTATCAACGGAATTACAATTTAATCTAATATTTAATCAAATAAAACAGCTTTCTCCCATGGGTCTAAGTGATAAACTGCAATGTGAAATTATTCCTGCCCTCTCTTTGCACTGTATAAAACGAACGCTAAATCAATCCATGTCTATTTTTAAAGCTACAGTTGTTGGGAAGGTCTCTTCTATACAAGTGACTGGTCTCCTTGAAACCAAAGTCTAATTTCCATCCATGAGTGAATGAATGAATCCAGGGATCTAGGCCAGTACATATTGACATTATTATGTGCAAAAGTCACCTGGAAACTGAGTACTCTAGTGAAATATACCTACATTTCTAACAAGCTCCTAGATTATACCCCAACTCATATTTTGAATATGAACGTCCTAGGCTACAGACATATTGTACCTTGGAAGACAGATGAATAGGGGTTTGGTGAGAAGTTTTATATGATGGGGCTTGAAAAATGCATGGAAAAATTCTCTATCTTTCAATTACATATTTCTGTGAACTTTTTCAAGTCCCCACATGAATAGATGAGAGAAAAGATGGGGCAGAGGGTTAATGTCCAGGAGCAACTTACATGGGTAAGTCAGTGTTTAAGACAGAGTTACTAGAAAGTAGACTTCTGGTATACATTTGAATTTTTCATTTCATTGAGATAAAGACTCCAATCTACAGAAGGGAAGAGCTACTATTTCACATCATAGAAATTATAGTAAGACAGAAGTTGAATTATGCTCAGCTAATCAAAGCACTAAGGAGCTCTGGTAGCGTAGTGGTTATGAATCAAGCTGCTAACCTCAAGGTCGGCAGTTTGAAATTACCAGAGGTTCCGTTGGAGAAAGATGAGGTATTCTGCTCCCATAAAGATTTACAGCCTCGGAAACCCTGTGCAGAGGCACTATGAGTCAGAACCGACTCCATGGCACTTAACAACAACAATCAAAGTGCTCTAAGTTCAAAAACTCAAAAACAATTTGCAAACTTGTAGAACTTGTAGAAAAATTTCCAGCAGCACAGCTATTAATAATGAACAATTGTTTTCATACTAACACGTATAGTTGTCGTGGTTGCTGTTAAGTGCCTACAAGTCAGTTCTGACTCGGCGATCCTGAATAGGGTTTCTTGGGATTGGTGGGTAGGTTCAAACCATTGACCTTGCAGTTCGTAATGAAGTGCTTATCTTAATGGGCCATGCCAGGAGCTCATTATGTATAATGTTAACTGCTGTCAAGTCAGTTTTGACTCAGAGTGACCGTGAATAGAGTTTCTGGGGAATGGCTGGTAGGTATGAACCGCTGACCTTGTAGTTAGTAGTACAGTGCTTATCCTACAGTGCCACATCAGGCCTCATTTATTTACTGCAAAACCTATTATTATTCTGCCTGTCCAGCATCCATGTTTTGTTTTAAAAATGTTCCCTGCTCTATTATATACAAATATTATCCATGGGAGCTGCCATGTTTTTACACAATCGTGGTTGATTTGTTCAGAATGGGAAACTGAACCAGACTGACTCAAAGTATCTCTTCTCCAACATTATTAGATTTGGAATCTCAAAAAACTAATGCTGTAACATAAAAATTTGGAGAGAGAAGAATGAAGCTAACGGTCAAAGAGAAGTAGAAAAAGGTATTTGAATACTTAGTTCTCTGTTGTTTCAACAGTTCAGCTATTTTTTTGTGTGGATTGTTTATTCTAGGAGATTTCTTAATCTCCTTCTAATAATTTATTCCTTTTGCTTATGGTAGGGAGAGCTAAGTTTGTACCTAGTAATGAAAAAAGATTCAAGTAACAAACAATCTTACCCTAGATGAATCAAGGAAAGGTTCCTACCTCTGGTCTTGTTTCAGCCTCTGAGCCTGAGGTAGGAAACTGCACACCTTTCTTAAGCAGGTCAAGGTAGGTTTCTTTCACTTCACTTACATCCACACCTCCTGGGAAACCCTGTGACCAAGTCTGAATTCCGGAGACAGAAAGATCCAGAATTAAAACAGCAGCAAAACCAAAACACAATTCATAAACAAGCAACAGAAAAATGGGAGACTGAGAAGTATGTAGCTTACTCAAAAAGAAGAAGCTACTTTTGAAAGACATGACAAAATGTCCATTTTTCAAAGACTAGAATAATAACATGAACTAGTTTAGTCACCAGATTCCCACACTTCAGTATCTTACTGCAATCCTGGGGTAGATGCTATTGAATAGTATTTGTTGTACTGGATTCAGATTCAGTACATTCTGAAATAACATCAGGAGCTTTTTTTCCAAGTAACTTTGAACTGGCCATCTAATTACTCGAAGGTATACACGGAACTATCTTTCCTACCAAGCACTGATAAACTTAAGATTAAAGTAGGGAAATGGATCTAAATTCTTACAAGAAATTATTACACAGAAATTAAGGCCAAGAAATTATTATACAGAAATTAAAGCCAAGAAATTATTACACAGAAATTAAAATAGCAGTAAGGTTTTCTGGCACAATGCTAGGTTTATAAAGGATCACTGAACCAATCAGTAGGCACGTAATTAAATCCCAAATCTTAGAAGTTTATCCATTCCATAAAATACACAACACACTTACCTTAATGAAATTCAGGATTTTATTCTGAATGTCTAATGGCAGGTTGTATCTGGGATTCAGCAGCTTAACTAAATTGTCTTTCACGAATTCCTTCTTCACAATCAGAGACTGGAAACGTGGACCACAGTTCTGCATGCACATGTCAATAAGCTAAATTAGGAAGAAAAATTAAACATTATATCTGACAAAAACCAGCTCCTAAATGTAAGGCAAAAATAAAGATTTCCACTAGCATGCTAAATAACACAAGTAACTTCGTACTGACTAAAATATAGAGAAAGTGCTAGGTTATAGGATTGTAAGGAAATATAATGTATAATGCAACTGCCTTCGAGATTTTAACAAATTATATTACATAAATAACAATTGTAGTTGTTATTAAGTGCCATTAAGTCATTTCTGACTCATAGTGACCTTGGTATAGGGTTTCTAAGGAGCAGCTGATGAGTTTGAATCACTGACCTTGTGGTTCAAACTGACCTTGCGGTCCAGTGCTTTATCCCACAGCATCACACCAGGATAGTAATACAGGGTTGTTGTTGTTGTTGTTAAGTGCCATCGAGTCAGGTCCGACCCATAGCGACCCTGTACAGGGTTTCCGAGGGTGTAAATCTTTACGGGAGTAGAAAGCCTCATCTTTCTCCCACAGAGCGACTGGTAGTTTCGAACTCCTGACCTTAAGGTTCGCAGCCTGATTCGTAACCACTACGCTACCAAAGGGTAGCAAATGCCAAGTGCCAAATGGGAAGTGCAGACTAAACCCATGGGCTATAGATAGGGTGGTAGCCTTCTGTTTCCCCGGGGCAGTCCTGGTATATGTCTGCTGTCCTGGCTTTCTTATTGATGGGACCCTCTTTCACTCTCAGAAGTGTCCTGGTTTGGATGATAGTTTACATAGTTCCCCTAGCTACAGACCTTGATAGATAGGTGCAACCAACCTTACAGGACTTTAAAAAAAAAAGTTGGGGTTGGAAAGATGCCTAAATAAAAATGAATGTAGAACTATATGTGGGTGCTTCAGAAAGTTCATGCAAAAATGACATTATCTTTTCATTCTATTCTTCCATGATCTTTTTGAAGCACCTATGTGTCCTAGAAAGATAAGTGGTACAAAAAATTGCAAAGGTGGCAAAGTGCATGAGTTGTGAAGGGGGAAGGGAAATAAATATGCCAGTTTGTCTCTAGAGGGTGCTTCTCTATGTAGGGAAATTGGGAGCACTGTGATGATAGAATGGATACAATCTGGAGGGGTGCTATCCAGACGATAAAGAAACTTGAGGGGCAGTTTAAAGAGCTTAGATGTCATCTCAAAATTACTGAGGATCCACTGAATAGGTTTTGTTAGTTTGTCACCATCCTACCCCTATTCCAGTGGGAAAGCTCTGAAGTTGTCAGGCAGCAATCTAGAGAGAGAACAGGAAAGGGAAGATCCTGGAATCAGGGAGAGATCCAGTAGGGACTCACTAGAATACACAGAATGCAGAAAAGGCCTAAACTAAGATGGTATGGGGTGCAAAGAAGGGAAAAACACAGGAGAAGGAAGAACTTTCAATGACCAAGTGCTTGTTTAAGGATGAAGACCAAAAAGTAAGTGACTCCCATTCAGCAAGAGCTTGATGGCATCTCTGATGGAAATTTGGAAGCAGATGTAGTGGTAAAACTTGCCAGGGGCAAAACTGATGGGTTAAAATTTAGATATTCTGATAGTTGGATACTCAAGTACAGATGTTTAGAAGGACCCTGTACATGCACTGCTACAGTTCAGGAAATTACAGGGCCAAAGTGAGTCATCAAAGCTGCCAAAGATGAGCAGAAAAGAACAACAGCTGAAACACTGGGATTTACTTATTACAAGTTAGAAGAAAACTCAATAAATGCAACCGAAGAGCAACCAACAGAAACAAAAATACAAAATAAGGTGAACATGATGTTGATGACATCAAAAGAGGGCAGAATTTCCAGAGGGGTGGTGTGTTAAATGGTCAAGCAGATAGACTGAGAAAAACTCAAATAGATGCTTCTTGTGAGGATTAAGTAAAATATAATCTACATTAAGAGACTGACACATAACAAGGCCTCAGTAAATGGTAACTATTTTGATCATCTGCTTCCCTGGAGATTTTATAGTCTATTGGCAGAGGGAGAGAATGTGATGATCAGCTATTTAAGCATATTCTTTTTAGAGAGGCTGGAAGGAGGGGAGTTTTACTTCTCATAATAAATTTCTAAAGCAGATACAATTTACTGCTCAGTCCTTATGAAGCTGACTTGGCTGTCAATCCCCTAGCCTTATAACCCTGGGTACAATGACAACAACCAGACTTCAGAGTCATCAGAGATGATGACCACCTCTGGACCCTGGGGATCACACCAATGTATGGCTACCCTAAGATGACACCGAGAGCTCACTTAGATCATTCTAAATGCCACAGGCTCCTGGAGGGACAATCACATTGTACACTTCTTCTAAAGCCCCTATAGCTCATTACTTAGTGGTTGCTTCACAAAAGCCTATTAGTTAATTAATTCCCAGGAACTTGTTCAATTGCCTTCCATTTGACAATAGCAGTAGCTTGTTGAGATTTATTACAACTGACTCATTTGTGAAAAGGTTAGTTTCTGGCTCAGAATTATAAAGCCTGGTAACAAAAATGTTTTTTTTTTTTAAAAAAACTAAAAACAAAAAACTGGCTTCTTGACAAAACTGCTCTACAAACTAATGGTAGGAAATCTTGTACAGTCAGATCCCATCAAAGACCTATTCAAGGTTTAAAAAGCCTATGGATACCCCAAAGTGACAGATAATACAAAGAACATTTAAAATTGATTTTGACAGGCTCCAATCGCTTTATAATAATAAAATGGAAATGTCAGCTATGAGTATTAATTTTTAAAGAATTTATTGGTAAAATTATAATTGCTTTTGACAGACAGTAGATAATCCCTTCTGCAACTAATTTCCCAAATAATTAAGTTTGGCTTCAATGAAGCGTAAGTGCACATTTACAATGTGGTGAGCAGTCTGAGGTGGAGACATTGATCCGTTACATACAGTTGTTGCTAAGTGTCCTCGAGTCACTTCCAACTCTTCACAATCCTGTAAAGGGTTTCCAGGGAGCCACTGATTGGTTTGAACCGTGGTAGTTCCCCAGTCCAGTGCTTATCCTACAGAGCCACACCAGGAGTCCACATTAGATAATGTTGTTTGTTGATAAGTGCCACTGAGTCAGTTCTGACTCATAGCGATCCTGTATAGGGTTTCTAGGAGTAGCTGGTGAGCTTGAACCACCAACCTTGGAATTCAAACTAACTTTGCAGTCTAGTGCATTAACCCTCAGCACCACAACAGGACTCCCCCATTACATATAGAGAGAGAACTTGGGAAAATCTGCCAGAAGATACCAAAAGTCAAACGACTATTTAGAGAAAATCCAAGAAAGTAGGTATTTTTCTAGACCTCATATAAATACTGAGCCTAAAAATGATGTCCTGGTGTGGCGTTGTTGTTTAATGCACTGGACCGCAAAGTCCACTTGAACTGCAAGGCCGGCTGTTCAAACTCACCAGCCGCTCCATGGAAACCCCATACAGGGTCACTAGGGGTGAGAACCTGACTCTACAGCACTTAACAACAACAAAAATGGATGCATATTCTGGCCTCGCAACCTAGGACTCTTTACCTTATTTTGGTGGTTGTTGTTAAGTGCCATTGAATTGGTTCCGACTCATGGTGACCCTGTACAAGGTTTTCATGGAGCGGCTGGTGAATCTGTACTGCCGATCTTGCGGTTCAAACCAACCTTGCAATTCGGGTACAGGTTTAAGATCTGATTGTTTTCACACTGCTGTTGTCGAGTAGGCTCACACTCATAGCAACCCTGTATAGGGTTTCTGGGGCTATAAATCTTTGAGGGAGCAGAAAGCTTCATCTTTCCTCCATGGGGTGCCTGGTGGACGTGGTTCACAGTCCAGTGCTCATCCTATGGACCCACTTTGTAGAAATCATGAGGTAGAAATCCTACAATTACCTGAGGTAGAATGGGTAGTGGGAACAGGCGCAGGTAGCAGCAAGACTTAGATTAGATTATCTAAGAGGAAGGAAAAGTGGGAGCCTAAAGAGACGGGGAAGGGAAAAAGGCACAACATTTTTGGAAAACCCAACTTCCTCAGGGAAGGGCCCTGGTGTGTCTTCAGAAAGAAGGAACTGGGATGAAGGAAGATATGGAGATGGGGATGGGAAGCAACTACAGCAATGTCAAGAAGGTTGGAAAGAAAAAGAGCTAAACCACCTATTATAAATAGTAAGTAACTATAAGAAGGTGAAATAATATCTTATGCTGAAATATAGAAGGTGGCATAAATACATTTTCGGTCCTTACTTTCCTCACTCAATTCTCCTAACCTACTGCATCCTTGAGGTACCTTGTTGTTGTTGTTAAGTGGCACTGAGTCAGTTCTGACTCACGGAGACCCTGTATAGGGTTTCCAAGGAGCAGCTGGTGGGTTTGAACTGCTGACCTTGTGGTTCACAGTCCAATGCTGATCCTATAGCACCATACCAGGAGTTCCTAAATCTGCATTATTTCAGGGCAAATCTTCAGTTATTTCTACCCTACTTCAATAGTACCAAAGCACTCTGGTGCCAATGTGGTTGAGCACATGGCTGCTACCCAAAAGTTTTGTGGTTCAACCTTTCAGCTGCTCCACAGGAGACAGATGTAGTAGTCTGCTTCCATAAACACTTACAACGTTGGAAACCCTATGAGGCATTTCTACTCTGAACTAGAGTGGTGCTGTTAGTTGGGATCATCCCAATGACAATGGATTTGGTTTGGTCTTCTATAACACCTTCCATTAGCCCTTGAGCTTCCCAGATCAAGGGAGCACTTAGTCACTGGTTCAGACATCTGATACACTAATGTACTGGACACTATACTCTACAGAAAACCATTGAAGATGACAAATGAAACACAATAGTCTCTCTTAACAGATTTCATTCATTTTGAAAAGTACAATGGTAGAGGCGGGGCTTGATGGCAGATAGGGTAGAGGTGTAGTGAAGATCTCTGTCAGCAATAACACAGAATACCAGACGAAGCAGGTTCAGGGGAAGAGCTCCAAAACTCTGAACCACATATATAGGAATATTT